AAGGTCGGGCCTTTAGGCCCTGATGTGTCCCTCTAGCCCTAAGTCGGGTCCGGTAGGACCCGTGTGGCGTCGAAGATGTAACACACACACACACACACATGCAGACACACACACACACGTACACGCACACACACATGTACACGCACACGCACACACAATAGAGTAGGGTCATAAAGAAGGGCATTACTTACCAGATGGTTTGAGATGAACACCCAGCTCTGCTAATGTGATCTCCACACTTCTCCTATGCTCTCCAATAATCTGACTGTACAACTTATAAAGTGGCTCAAGGATAAACTGAACAAACGAGCGCTCACCGCCCTTAGCAGAAGCCTTTCTTTTAAAAGCTGCCACATCACACAAAACGCCAGTCAAATTCAAATCAGCCAGAGTCATGCAGAGATTCACCTTTTATCTCTCTCTTAATCTGCTTAAACCACCAGTACCTTTCTCAGTGATGGGAAAAACGGGAATATACGTCACACCGCAGTTTTAGGAGGTCCCAACCAGCCTCGGCAAAAAGAAAGTGTCCGGTCCCCATGGACCCACTTGAAAAAAAAAAAAAGCTGTATCGAGAGGAATGATGTTGGGGACGGCCGTTGCCCAGGGCATACTCACATTCCTACTATCAAGAATGTATCTTGCCAGTATTATGGCCTTCATGGAATTCTGTTTTGTTTCGTTCTTCTGTTTTGTTTTTATTGCGCTGCCAGCAAGGCAGGGCACATCAGACGGACTGCTCCGACGCCCGTCCAGAGCGTAGTTACATGTTTTTTTTCTTCTTCTTTCATCGAGAACACTGCCCCGTGGTGACGCCCTCACCGAGCGCATACTCACACAAACACTTCTGGGAATGCATCCTACTGCTATCACGTCCAAAGCTTTTTTTTTTTTGTCTTTTTTTATCCTTTTTCTTTTCAGGATGCAACCGCCGTGATGAAATCAGTTTTGAGGTGAGTAGTTTATGGATCCGTACATCTGGGCCTCAGCCCTCCTCCGTGCAAGCACGGATTCGAACCGGCAACCTTGGCCTCAGGAGCCAAGTCTCTTAACCACTACAGCAAGGACACGGTGTTCAAAAGTGGAACCCAGGCTCGGCAAAACTCGGTCCGCAGTGAATTCTGGGTAGGGAAAATCAGGATCGGAGGTGGTCGTGGTGGTTTAAACTTTAAACTATTTTGCTGCTCCCAAACTCTGCAAGGGACAATGGACCAAACTTCCATAACCCCAACTTCAAGAGGAGAAAAAACATTTTGACAATGCTGAAGAGTAATAAGCCAGTTGCCCACCAGTCCCAAACACAAGAAGGGAAACAAAAAAGGAAGAAACAAAGAAAAAAGAAACTTCGACTAGCACGGTAATGTGCAAATAAGTTAATAAAAATAACTCACTTCTTGTCTCAGGATGAAAATAGCAGTCTCCCCAGAGCTTGGAAGCAAATGCTTGTTCGTCCAACGCCACACCATGAAGATCCGAATACAGTTTCGCAAAAGACTGTCCCATAAAAAAAATGCGGACACATTTCCAGATCGATCGTCCACATCAGCAACTATTGCTGCCACAGCATACAGAGTCATCGCAGACAGACTACCTTCTTCACCCCGATACAACGTACAGTCGTTATGGCTGTATTTAGACTGAAAGATGCCCCAAATACCGTGACAATGACCGTATAGTGTGTTCAGGTGAAGAAGGTAGGATGACTGTAAGCAACTGGATAAACGACCAGACAGTCATTGACAGTGGTGTACTGGATAAACGACCATGCCCTTTTCAAGATCCACATTTGGGTCCAGGCTTATTCTTGCAGAGGAAGGAAATAACTGCTAATGCCGGATTGGCAATTAGCCACACAAACCGAAAATTTTGAGGCCTTATGGCAACCACACAAAAAATGGGTCTGTTGTTCCATAGACCTTGGCCCTCCTTTTAGTGCTATAAGCAGGTGGTGGCTCAATAGAGCTTGTCAGTCTTGCTAGGGCTATAGAAGAGGGGTACCCGGGAACCAGTCGTAAAGAGGATCAAGTTTTCCAATTCTCAGGCTTGACAATGTTTTAAGCTTCAGGTGCACTTGTGGTCAGGTGCACTTGTGGTTGGTTATAACATACACTGAAAAATATGGAGGCCTTATGGAAACCACACCGGGTTGCAAAAATGGGGTAGCCTCACCCCTACACACGTATGAGAGGATCCACTGAAGTAGAAACAGTGTGGTTCACAGAAGAGAGAAAAAAAAAAGGAAAAAGAAAACACCAATAGCCTTGCACCTGCACATGTAGGAGGCAGACCAATCGACAACTAGCGCAGATTAAAATTGAACTGCTACATAATAGCAAATAACAAACATACAAAATAATTCGTCTAAAGAAAAGGTCCGAAAAGCAATTTCATCATCGCCTTCCGTAAATCTAACGAAAACGTTAGCACCATGATTAAAATTAAAAAAAAAACATGAATTCCATTGAAAGCTTGGACAAACCGCCTAACCATAGCTCACCCCTGTGCTCCACATGTCACTTCCTCCCAGCACCAGCGAACCCAATTTCTCAGCAAAACGGACAGAAAGGGCCAGAAGAACACCACGGTCTATATCGTAACAGAACGAGTTCAAGTCCTGATCGGATCAGATGGTACAGGTGATAGTAGCAGACAACGAGTTTGAATCCTCTGAGTGTCAGACAAAGACAAAAATAATGTTTGAGGCTACCACCTCAAACCACCAGTACACCCATTTTATCTTTTTTGCCTGGAGGTGCCTTACTGCGCCCCAAGCTTTGCCGAAGCGCCAGTGACACACATTTTATCTTTTTTTGGCTGGCGCCGCCAGCCATTGTGGTCCAGGGCACTTCGTGCCTGGAGCTGTGATGCAAGCCCCCTGGCGCTTATACGAGATGAGGCGGCTCGAAGAGCGGTCGTTTTCGGGGAAGCATACCCTGCAGCCCTTCGGCCTTGTGCACTTGGGGAAGCACGCGAATGCACGCTGGCCTTCGGCCCTCTGCAATGAGTTTACCACTTTCATCGGCGAACAACCGAACCCTTGGAACCTCGACCTTCCACCATTACTGATGGGGTAAGACTATGCCTTCACCATATTCACTACAGTCACTTGTAAGAACTTAGGTACGAGCCGTTCAGGTTTGAAGCTGCCGCTTGGTATTGGCATTTTGTTGATGTGGTTTGGTTATTTATATTTGTATCTATTTATTGTTGGGGGGGTAATTAACACTTACTACCCCAAAACCCGGGGACGCGTGCATAGAGACGATTTCGGGCAAAAGAAATTCCCATGGTGTGACGGGCGGTGTGTACAAGGCCTGAGTACATATTCACCGCGGCATGCTGATCCGTGATTACTAGCGATTCCAACTTCATGTTCTCGAGTTGCAGAGAACAATCCGAACTGAGGCAATGTTTCAGGATTCGCTCCGCCTGGGGGAGCTGTAAAGTTGTCTCTTACCACTGGGCTATTTGCTGGGAACCCCTATGAATCTTGGTCCTCCGAATTCTCACACTGAGGAACAATCCAAGATTCGGGTCAATCAGCAGGAAACCAAAACGTTGAATATTTGGAATCGTTGATTACAACGAGTAGGATCCTCAGAGGCTATGGTAGGCCGAGCCTCCAAAGCTTTTGTAGGTGACATTTTTTTTTTTTTTTTTTTTTTTGGTTTAACCAGGCGTTCTATTTGGGTGGGGCCGTGTACTGGTGGTTTAAACTTTAAATCACATATAAAAGAAAGGTGACAGAGCACCACACGCACTCCCCTGCTGATGTTTGACAGACCCACATTCCACATGTAATATAATAAATCGGTAGTCTTTTCACAGAACAGCTACCGTCTTCACCCAAATAGAATGCCCGGTCATCATTGCCGTATCTGGACTGAAAGACATAATGACCAGGCGTTCTATTCGGGTGAAGACGGTAGTGCCATTCCAAGGGGTAAAAGGAATATCCTTTGCAAAACCGTTTCCCAAAGAACAAAAGGGATAACAGAAAGAGGCAAAAGACCAGGGCACGCCCGGGGGGGGGGGGGGGGGGGGGGGGGGGGGGGGGCAGGTCGATGACCAGGAAGGCAGTTGGAACTTGCCTGAAGTGTAAATGACCAACCAGCAGTGGCACTTGCAAAACAAACATTTCCAATCACAGGATCGACCTTCAGAAGGAGCACAAAAGACGGCACAAATCATGAAAGAAGCGCACACAAGGCAAAACAGGATGTCAACAACTGCAGCAACTGGTACTTACAATGATTACTTTGCAAGGAGAAGGAGAGAGAATACGTTTCCACCGCTTCAAATGTATAACAGAAATTGATCATACAAATGGGCCTAGTTCAGTTGCCACACCAATGAACTGTTGAAAGACAGACCCAAGTTCGAAACCAGGTGCAGCCAGATGAACAGAAGTTACAGAACAAAATAATTTTGAATGACCTGGGGTCAGTCAGTTGAATGATCATATCTCAAGGCTCTCACCTTAAAAAATAAATTAAAGAAAAAAAATATAAAAAACGGTTGAGAAAGTTATAACCCAGCCTATCAGATTTATCTGGAGGCTTTTAAGTTTTAATGTTTTTTTAAACAGTGGATATGAACGAACAGAGTCGCGGAACTGCATGACATTTGCTTGCATACAACCAACCATTGCTTGTACATCGGCAAAGGCTGTGCCGTTTGCAATCAGCTATCGCTCCGCACCCCCAGCAGTGCACCGTGTGCTGCAACTTCAAACACAGCTTGGTATGTACTATGATAGTACAAGATCAGCGATCGCTGTCAAGTGCAGGCAAGTAAGAGTAAAAGGGAAGGCACGGTCGACGTCTCCTGTCTCACCTGAGGGGGGTCTGGACCAGTCGCATACAGTGCCATCAGGTTGTTCAACTGCAAGAGGAAGAGGGCATTAGACCCAAAAAAAGAAACGAAATTTAGTAGGCATAGGGTGCAACATGAAGCCAAAATTTTAAGAAGGTACGCATACAAGATACACGGTGACATTGAGGAGTTTGTGCTTCACCAACTGACAACGATACTTCGATACCATCTTCCCCAAACGAAATTTAGTAGGCATAGGGTGCAGCATAAAGCCAAAAAATTAAAAAGGTACGCATACAAGATACACAGTGACATCGAGGAGTATGTGCTTCACCAACTGACCACGATACTTCAATACCATCTTCCCCAAACGAAATTTAGTAGGCATAGGGTGCAACATGAAGCCAAAAAATTAAAAAGGTACGCATACAAGATACACGGTGACATCGAGGAGTATGTGCTTCACCAACTGAGCACGATACTTCTATACCATCTTCCGCTTCCTCCCCCACCCCCAACCCCCCCCAAAAAAACACCCCCTTGATATGAACATATCTGACCAGACTCATAGCGAAACTTATAGCTTGGATACATTCGCGATTAAGGTGGGAAAGTTGCGGTATTTTAGGGGAAGACGCCCCAGTCGTTGATCCACGACAGTTGTTTCTCATGAATTCCCCAGCAATCAAGACCACAAGTTTACAAGCATTGCATCCATTCATGGAGTTCTGAGGAAAACCAGCGCAGCCCATATAGCTACCGTCTTCACCCGAATAGAACGCCCGGTCATTATAGCTGTATTTGGCACAACTTTCGGTCCATATGTAGCGATAATAACCAGGCATTGAAGACCTTAGCGAATAAAGCTAAAAAAAAAGACAGAATGACGGTGTTCCTCAAACATAGAAGATATCTGGCTCCTCTTCGACAGCTGGAATAACGACGTGATCCCATCTATCCTCAAAAAGAAAAACGGTTCCTCTACCACCTTATAGATTAGTTGGTTCACCCATAAACTGTTGAAATGAGAACCCGAGTTCAAATCCAGAGGCAACGAGATGCATGCGGGAAAAGAAAAAAAAAAAGAGAACAAGCCCATCTAAAAGCAGGTAATGCTTTGAAGCCTATCTACATGCAATCAAGCCAAGATAACTTTTTTTTTTTTTTCATACATACATATTCTATTTTTCTCCCTTTCTGGGGATCACATTCCTAACATGTACAGAGAGTCTCTGTGTCCCGTTATTTTCTTTCTTACATGGGCACCCCTTGCTAATGCCAACATCCTAGCCGCTTCCTTGCTGATCTGACAGTGTTTCCCACATCCTCTTTTCCCAAGGTGCCACAATCAGATGAAACAAAACTCATTGTTCTTCTCAACATAAGAAAAAAGGAGAAAAAGAAGAAGGTATCCTCATCACCTCCTCTAATGTGTGTCTGAGCTTGTGGTAGGCATCCGCCGGAGGAAGCTTCAGCTCTGTGATCAGCCTGTCAACCTGCAGGCCAGAAGCAAACGGGTCACGACCAATCGCGTGCACAACCCCAGGAACCAGAGTCATCCCACAGTTGAGCTCGCAATTGGCAAACTGGATTTGTGTACACTACAGTTTTGAGCATGTGGAGGAATCACACTCGGCGATCAACCTGCCAAACTCAAGGTCCGAGCCAAACTAACAAGACCACATCTCATCTCATACACGCTTCAGTGACCACATTCGTCACAAAACGGCCATGCACTTGGTCACCCTCGTAGGGCCCAATCTCATATCTCATCCTACGAAAATAGTTGAGCTTGAATTTGGCAAATTGGATTCATTCACCAAATCTGCACTTGATCGTTGTAAACTTCACAACTGCGTACCATCGTGTTGGCGTTCGGTGGCCGAACCCGAACGTTCTCAACCGAACACGAACAACAGCCGAAACCCTCCGAGCACATTCAGTATGCTCCACAGCTTCACAAATTGTATAACAATATACCAGTCACTCAGTTATACTTGCTACGTGTTCGCGTTCGGTGAGCGACGCGACGTTCGCGACCAAATGCGAACGAGCGCCAAAACCTTCCGAACACATTCGGTGCGCTCCACAGCTTCACGAGTTGTAAACCGTATACCAGTCGCTCGATTATACTACCAGCACATTCAGTGAACCTCACACTCGCTCCAGAGATAACCAACCAAGTTGAAACCACGACTACGAGGTACAGTAAACCATGTTCGCGGCAATATTAACAATGGGAACACCTCCTGCGGGTTGGTACCGAGATGCAGTTGCCCATTATTGGGCAGTGGCACACTATCCTCACCCCTTTTGGGGTGACATGGACATTGTTGTACACAATGACTGCTATTTTCAACAGACAAAGCCCTGCACAGTCGGGTATGAAAATACTCGTAAACATAATAAAAAGCCCCAAGGACCCCTTGGAAAACCCCAGAATCACTAACGACGACAATAGCACCATGACCCCTCTCCATGGGCTCCATCAGAAGCAAAGATGGCCCACAGGAAACAGACCCACTTGACAGTCTCTGAGCTTGGCCACAGGCATTTCAATCCACAACACGGGCATAAGGAAAGAACAAACACCAGAACAACACCAATACATCCGACTCCCCATCCCTCTAGTACGGTGCAGTATACCTCCAATAACAGCAACCTGTGTGTGTGTTTGTGCATGTTTAATATTCACCTAACAAAAAAGGCTTTAATTTCAACAAAAAGCACTCCACCACAAGCACTATTAGATCCCCTGAGTAGGTGTGGCTACTCGCAGCATGACTTCCGTCCTCCTGACACACACTTTGCACTGTAAAAACACGAATCAGCAGACACCTGTACAGTTCATGGCCTGACACAAGATAAGCCAGCCCAGCCCAGCCCATTCGTATTAGAAATATGCGCGCGAGTGCACACACACACACACACACACACACACACAAACACACACACACACACACACGCACACACACACACACACACACACACACACACACACACACACACACACACACTAATAGAGGCGATGGGGGTAGAGAAGGGATGCTGCCACTCCAACCTTGTTGATAACAATGCAGATTGGGAGACCCTCTTGCAATGCATGCTTGATTGCCCGCTCAGTATTCACCTGTCAACAGCAAATGACACGAAAAAGATCAGAGGATGTGGTTTTGGTGTGGCCAAAGAGCCAAGACCCACTGATCACTTAAACAGACGCCAACAACCGAAGAACGCACAGAGACAGCTTCTTTTTCAGAGGAACTAATCCAACACGAAAATCACTGCTAACGTCTTCACAAGTTTCTCCACTTCTACATGTGGCCTCTCCCTCCCATTCACTACCCATCTCTCCTCTCCTCCCTGCACCACATTTTGCTTTCTCAGAGAAGAACAGCACTACTTTTCTCCCTTAGCCCCTTACCATCTATGCACTCAAAGACCACAGAAGAGTTACGACTATTCAATGCCCACAAAACGGCCAGGCTTGCCCTGTAGTTGAGAGACAAGCCTTGAACGACGGCAACCACAAAGTCAAATCAGTATCAAATGCCCACTACAAAGAGTCTTCATTGCAAATAGGTACAGAATCAGTGCCGATGGTTGCTGAATTCTGACTCCAAAAAAAGTTGAATGAGACAAAAGTTCATAACTATAGGGTAAGGCACACATGCACAACCAAAAAACAACGGGCTGAATACCCATCCACACTCACTGCTAGTGAGCTGAGTCACTCACTGATTTGAACCGCAGTTAAAATAGTACCCCATTCACACCTTGATGTGACCAACGTAACATACGGTGCCCTGGAGGACCAGTTCACAGGCTAAGACAGGCATGCCCAGCTGAACCATTCATGTTGGTTATTAATTTAGACATGGATCTGTTTATGCCCTTGCATACTACCATCTTCCCCCGAACAAAATGCACCCTAATAATGTAATGACTGCATCAAACTGGAAACATAGCTTGTGTACACTCATTATTGGGATGTGTTGTGTTCGGGGGAAGACGGTAGCTATGTTGTTAATGCTAGTTGGAACATTCACTGTGGCTGGTTCAAGGTGCACCCTGAGCAAACAGAGCTTCTGCAAAGGACCCGGAACAGCTTGCCCTTTTCTTCGCCGCCCTCAAAGAAATGCCGTCTCCTTCCCACATTCATGACAGTCCTAGCCTTAGTGGAGACACTTGAGAGAATATATACAGCCCAATCTAATAAGTGTGACAACCCACCAGATCCAAATAACACAATTGCTGTGAGCTCAGCAAAGATGTTCCAACCACTACCCAAATGACAAAACAACGAGAACGAAGCCGGAGAGCATTTACCAGGTTGTGGTGGTGGCCGAAAGATAGGTTTACATTACCATCACACCTTCCACTGCATCTACAAGTAGAATGGCGCCATCCGCCAGTCGTAGAGCAGCAGTCATCTCATCTGAGAAGTTCACATGACTTTTCTTATGTGCCAACGCACACGTTTGCGGCAGTACACATGCACACACAAGTACACAGAACACAAACACACCTGCATTCGTTATTTCTGAAACTAGACTACAGTGAAGGACAACAACAACAAAACAAGAATACGCCAAAGAAGAAGATGAAAAAGAAGAAGAAGGGAGGGAAAAGGGGGTGGGGGTGGGGGGTGGGTGGGGGGGAGAGGAGGGAAGGAAGAAGAAGTGGTGTTGGTGGAGGGAATGCAGCGAAAGTCACTTGTAACCGGACCAAAATAACGCAGTGCTGTAGACTTAGAGAACAGACAAGGAGGCAATCACATGGGTATTTTCAACAACTGCTACAGATTGCTTTGTGAGGGGTATTGTCATACGATTCAAAGTTGGCCTTCCAAAATAGATGAAAGATGTCGCACTCTAGAACACTGTAGCAACATCATGTGCACAGGAATGAAACTGCGTCCAAGCATGCTGCATATTCGATCTTGGACTCGCACCCGTAATTGCACAAAATGTTCACGATGCCTCATCAAAATCTTATTTGAAATACAGCAGGTACTTTCTTCCTGGGAACGGGGGTGGGGTTGTGTTGGGTCAGCGAATGTTGGGTAGGGGTATGTTGAGGGCGGCTATGCTGGTTGGGGCCATACTGGGAAGGGGTACGTTGAGTGGGAAAGGGGGTAGACGTGTGTTGGGTGGGAAAGTCCAGTAGGGGTATGTTGGGGAGGGGTGTGTTGGGTGGCGGTATGTTGGTTGGGGATAGGTTGCACAGGGGTATGTTGGGAAAGGGGGGTTAGACTTCATCGCATCTGATAGCCAGATCCTCACTACGCTCCATTGGGAACCTTATTATGCTTCCAATGGGAGATCCTGCATATTGTACAATCTTTCAGATTGCTGCAGCGAGCACCTCAAGACAATGAGTAATTGTGCATCTGGTCAGCTAGCCCGATGTGGGGAAAGACCCGGCAAAACCCTTTCTATCCCACTTAACGGAAACGTTACACAGCTCGTAGACTTACAAGATGCTACAGAGAACAAGATTGTGACGATGACGATGGCCATGACGGATGTGACACTCACCCCGGTGTGTCTAATATGTTGATCAAATGGGATTTGCCAGAGCTGTCCTCCATAACCAGGGACATTGGCATAGCCTTGATGCTGATCCCACGCTCCTGCTCATCAATTCGAGTGTCGGTAAACCGCAAATGCCGCTCATTCGTACTGTTGACCACGACAGTCAATTCGCATCAAGAGGGCATTCACATCAATTAAGTACAGAGATAAAGATAAAGGGACGCCACCAAGACCAGAGCAACAAAGGAGCACCCGCGGGGGGGGGACCACAGCGAATGAAAGGTGTTGGATGCTAGCAACAGAGACAAACTGGCAAAGAAGACAAATCACCCGCGGGGGGGGGGGGGGGGGGGGGACCACATGCTGAGATCCAGCACAGAGGTTTCTGACATATCTCCTTACGAAATCCATCTGAAGATATTAGCAAACAAGGTGGGTTCCGCAGAATTGAGTAGCAAAGCAACCTCCCGACATTGCCCAGCCAAGGATATCTGTCAAGTGCAAAGGTGTTGAATACACCTAACCTTAAGAACGACAAAGGAGACATCCGTTAAAATTGGAACGATACTGAGAAGATTAGCATGGCCCCTGCGCAAGGGGGAAAAAAAAAAAAAAGAACGACAAAGGACCTCTGCTTAACCGCCTCCAAAACAACTTCACCCCCTTCCTGAACAATGGGCTGCAGAGTGCGCTAGAGACCAATGACCTCTGTGCCCAGTTTCGATTCTTTATGACATCCATCTGCCTTGGCTTCTTTATGACACCCATCTGCCCCCAGAGTACCATAGGGACATGAACCTCCATAACATCAAATATGCATCCAGTGCTATGTCTCAGCTTTCGAAACAACAACTGAATTGAAATCAACCGCTAAGAGGGAAAGGATTCGAACCTTTGCATGTCGGGTCCAATTTCCAATCATAGAAGCTTCACATCCCCACACAACTCTGCACAACAAAGCTGGAAGACATACTATCGAAAAACGGAAGCGAACCACGGACAGAAGAAATGTCCCGAAATGTCCCAACAGTGAACAACACCCCCCCCCCCCCCCCTCAGGTCACTTTGCTCCTCCTCCTCATAGCAACTTCCCACTAGAAACAAACAGAGAAGCTATACATCTTCAGAAAAAGAAACGGCATCGTCCAAAATCGTATGAGCCAGTACAGTTCCACACACGATATACATGATGGTACAGTTGCAGAAATTCACTGCCTCTCCCACCGGACCACAGCAGTCGAGCCGCCTACATACAGCACAGACACTTAGCGCCGAGCTGCGGAACTATGGGGTTTCAAGGATACTGATCACATAACCTGTCTGATGAGCACAGAAACTGATACATACAGCACAGTCGGTTAAGACCTCAACGACATGGTTCGAATCAGCCACGGAGTCCGACGAAGATCCCAGTCCTGTTGCCAGAGGCAACCAATTATTTCCTCACAATGTCCACAGCCCGGTAAACCACCAGTACATCTGGAGAATCCGAATGGGCCTCTCCGAAAAGTTAGGCGACTTGGGACAGGGCCCACCTGGGGGCGGGCAGAATTCTTTTTTTCTGTTTAGGGCTGGGCCTAGTGTCACCCCACGGCATGGGTCTTTTTTTTTCCCTACAGGTCCTTCGGACGCCCTGTCCTGAGCCTCCGAAATTTTAGGAGAGGCTCAATTCCGATTCTCAACTTGGGCTGGGGCCATGTACTGGTCCTTTAAGACCTCAACAACAACATGCTGTCTGCAGAGGAGTACAACCCATCAAGAGCGCTGAAGGTTTAGAGAGTGTGCCAGATGCCCCCCACACCTTCAATAACGAGTCCCAGTGCGAAATCCAAAGCCCGAGCTGTGAAGTCCCATTAACACAAAAGCACACAATCCACACAGCATTCTAATTTTGCCTCAATCTGTGCTCTCCAAAGGTCCTACCACATTCAAATGCCACTTCAATAAAAGCCCTGCGACGTGATGAATGGTTATTGTACTTGTATTTTTAGGCAATTTTGGGCCAGAGGCGTAATTAATGGTCATCCACCGGTACGTTCGGGGAAAGATGGTAGAAGGTCTGCAGAATGGTAACGAGTATGAAATTAAATTGGGTGAGTACTGGCGTATTAGCATGAAATCAATCATGCTCTCCTCTTTAAAGTCAGTCGTTACAGTGTCTATGAATGCGCTCGCGTTCATTCAATTGCTATAGATGGTTCTACATTTTGTACAGTCTCATCCAGATACTACAGAGAAAGGCCGTCTATACTCACCCGTCCATCGTCGAGATTTCGTGTGTCTGCTCAACAAGCATGTCCATAAACAACGTCTTCCCATGATGAAGATGACCAACCAGAGCCAAGTTACGCACCAGCTGAGCGTTTTTCATCAACCCCAACAAGAAGCTGCAGCCAAAGACAAGACCAAGCAATTTCCCAAAACATAAAATTATTAGCCAATGCACACACAGCCTTGGTCAAGCTCCTGCCATTTGACCACTCCTCAAGAAATAACAAGGGTGAACAAACAGACCACACGTAACTGGTTATGGGTAGCCTGAAATGACTATCGATACTTGTAGCACTACATGCCTCAACAGTTACATTTGTTAGCCAAAAAAAAATAAAAATAGACATCCATTTAAATTGGAACGATACAGAGAAGATTGGCATGGCCCCTGCGCAACAAAAAAAAAAAATAGAAAGAGGTAATTCCGTCGCCTGAGAGAGATCCAGACATCTTTGGCATGTTCCATGTCAACTTGCCGACACGATTCCATTCTCCCTTCTGTTTTGTGTGAAACAGTTTTCACCTTTGGCAGTAGCCGATGCAGATCCCAGGGGTCGATCCCTTGACCTCAGCTTACCTGTGTACAGTATCTGCACAGTTCCCTGGAGTTGAACCCGTGACCTGCACGATAGCCAGTGGTAAGTAGGTCGCCGTAGGTTGTAGGCTGTAGGGAGATTCGAACTGTAGACCTGTAAGGTAGGAGTCCAAGTAGAGTCCAGAGGCCTAGCTTTAGTCCTTCTAGAAGGTCGGCAAGTGGTCAAGTGGTGAGTCTAAGGTAGGCCCACGTTTTCAGACGAAGACAAGTGGCAAGGTCAACAGGTAGGACCTCAGTGCAACTGCACTGAGTCGACGGTACGACTGCCTACAGTCAGCAGAAGGGTCTAGAGAGTCCCAGTCCAGTCCAGCAAGTACCACAGGGGGACTGTGAGCACCAAGGGCCGATGGCAAAGGGCAGACCAACGAATTTCTGAAGTATAAATCAAGAGGCAGCGCCCAGCCATTCATTCATTCCTGCGTGAGCCATGCGGAAGCGCTGCCACAGCGACTTGTGCAAGGAGGTCTGCAGATGAGCCCGGAGGACGCAGTGGGCAAGAGAGGAGGAGTTAGCATAGCGATAGGTTAGAGGCAGCCATAGCTGCCATAGCTATAGTTAGTAGTGAGTGTGTGTGTGTGCTCGAGTGTTAGAGCTGTCTCTTATACAGTTAGCATAGCGATAGGTTAGAGGCAGCCATAGCTGCCATAGCTATAGTTAGTAGTGAGTGTGTGTGTGTGCTCGAGTGTTAGAGTGATGCGTGTGGGATATCCAGGGTGATCCAGTGTATGTGAACAGTGAGATGTTTGGGCGCTGAAGTCGCCATAGCCAATTGAGAGTGAACTCGTATCTGAAAGCCATATCCCTGAGTTTTGAGTGGGCGCATGTCGCCAGTATACTGCGTTGCTGTTTACATACATGAAAAGTGTGTTTGAGAACGAGTCTGATTGCATGTGCTTCCGTGAAGTGGTTATAGATAAACTGGACAGGCTATACAGGACCCGATTGGCTATAGATAGACAGGCTATAGGGCTATAGATAACCTGGACAGGCTATCGGGCTATAGATAACCTGGACAGGCTATAGAACTATAGATAACCTGAAATTCTTATAGATATCTATGTCCATTAGGCTATTGGCTATACATGTATAATTGCTTCAATTGCTATAGATATCTCAGAGAGAAACTTGCAATCTATAGATAATCTGAAACAAGTGATTTCATCGCCTCAGACTAACCCAAACAAACTTGACATGTTGGAATTCACCTTGTGGAGCACAATTCCATTTTATGCATTCCTGTCCCTTTTCCATTGCCCACATCGTTCTGGTGAGCACAAAATTACAAACATGCGCCCTCTTTCCAATCTAATAGCAGTGCCGGGGGTCATAACTACTGGACAGGCATTACATCGGGAAGGACAAGGAGCAGCAGGAGATTGACATTGGAAAGAGGAAGCGAAGGTGGGGAAACCATTATGTAGGAGGCAAATGAAGAGCGCAAATGAATGACAACAATCGAAGAAAAGATAACCACAACCACTGAGCCACCCACAAAGAGGCACCGTGAAGCAAATCCACAAGTCCGATAGGGAGGAAAACAAGACAGACAACCAGGATGAAGACTGACATGGGTAATTTAAACGAATGAGGGATTTCCATGCAAGGAAAGGGACATAAAGGGCTGAACAAGGTTAGCCCTGAAGAAAACCCCTGTGGAGGAGCTGGAGGAGTTAGAGTAGCCCAGGCATTGCCTGGTCCCGCATGGAGAATGGCTATTCCTGCCATCTTCCCCCAAATAGAACGTCAGGTAATTACCGCTGTACCTTGACTGAAAGTTGCCCCAAATGCAGCTATCATAACCGGTCGTTCTATTCAGGTGAAGACGGTAGTCTTAAACCACCACTACATCTCGAGCCTCTTCTTCACAAGGAGGACTTCCCCTGTGTGCCAAGCTTTTGGTTTCTTTTCTTTTGGCAGTCGCTGCCAGCCATTTGGTCCCGTAGCCCCAGGTCTTCGAATTTTGCCCGGATGGCTTGATTTCGATTCTCAAGTTTGCCTGGGCCATGTGCTGGCAGTTTTAAGTGTCGACACGTCGTTCTAATCATGTCTTGCACACTTCATCACAACTTTAGTAAATTCTGCTAAGCACCTCAAAGTTAAGAGTTACTTCAGTAACTTCTGCTAAGCACCTGACAGTTAAGAGTTACTGCCACTGTTTACATGGGCTTCAATTTGAAGCTTCTGTCACTTCTCCTTTTCACCACCTTCCCGCACCGGGCAGGTGTCAGACTCTATACATCGTGTTACCACTTGTCCTGTGGTTTTCATAAACAGTCGCTACCCCCTGCCTGTTATGTGCCACTTTTTTGTCCAAGGTGTTGCAGGCATGGAGGGGACAAAGGTATGCATCCAACCACTCAACCGAGGTAGGGACAGAAGCCCACGTACTCGGTCGAGACATAAGTCTTGACTATGTCTCTCTTTGCAATTTCAAATTGTCTTATCTTGACTGGCTTGATAATTGGAACTTCCAGCGGCTGTGCGTCCTCGTCCATCACAAGGGTCTCAATGTCCTCTCCATAAACCTGTTTCAATCCATAGTCAACAACATTTGATCCAAGACGTCCATCACACAAAAATTAAGATGACAATGATCTATGACACCTACATCACAACGCACGACACAATTTGGATTGCAAAACAGCAATGAGGAGAGACAACCAGGCAGAAACGAAACACCACCTACCAGTCCTGCTGCGCCCTCACGAGGAAGTGATGGGCAGTAGTAGATATACCACTACCCATCTTATTACTCGACAGTGTCGAGTCCCAAGTGTTCAGCAAACGTCCCTAACTAAACTGTTTCAGCTGCCTTCCTGCCTCAATCCCTAAAAGAAATCTCATCTGATTACTAGCTTTGCACAACTCAAATGAACTCGTCAGAAAAAAGACAAAAAAAAGAGAGCACCTCATCATCATCATCGTTTGATAAAAGCTAAAAACCAATTCGTTCAAGTTCCACCGCACAGATCATATCTATGCAATGATAACTCCAAGCAAGCAAGGGGTTGGTTCAAGTCTGCCAGCCACGGAGGTCAGGTCACGAGTTTTCCCGGACGATAGTCACTGTTACCATCAGTCTTTGATCAGCACACTCAGCTGCAATGATGCCAAGACACCCAATCAGGAAAACAGTGAAAACACTGGTCATGCTTCCCCGCACTGCCACTGATCGGAAGAGAAGAAAGAGCTCAGCAGCCAAGAATTTGGAGAAAGGGCACTAAAGAGCAGATGCAGTGGTAGAAGGAGAAATGTAGTAGGAGAAGCGGTAGTAGAAGAAGAGCAGGAGATTTGGTAGTCAGATAACAGGTAGGGACAGGTGGGAGGACAAGAAGTGGTAGAAGCAGAGATAGTGGGAGCAGAGGTAGCAGGGTAACAGGTAGGAGGAGAAGAGGTAGTCGGGGAGAAGTGGTAGTAGGAAAAGTAGTACGAGAACAGAAAGTGAAAGAAGTAGGAGAAGACCAGAAGAAGAGGTAGTAGGACAAGCGGTAGAAGGAGAAGAGGTAGAGAGAAAGAGAGAGAAAGAGAGAGAAACAGAAGAAAGAGCAGTAAGAGGAGGGTTGGTACAAGAGTAGGAGGAGAGGTACTAATGTCTTCACCCGAATAGAACGCCTGGTCATTATAGCTGTATCCGAGGCAACTTTTAGTCCAGATGCAGCGATAATGACCGTGCATGCTGGTGAAGACGGTAGACAAAGAGAGGTGGTACGAGAAGTAGTAGCAGAAGACGTAGGAGGAGAAGAGATAGGAAGATGACAGGAAGCCGATGTGGAGGGGACGATAGAACGAAGCTGAAAATCCAGAGGAAGTAGGCAGACATGCAAGTTGTGGGGGTAGCAAATCCATACAGAGACGCAAAAAAGAAGCTCCAGGCAAAGATTCAGAAGAGAGAGATAAGAGAAGCAGCAGAGAGAGAGAGAGAGAGAGAGAGAGAGAGAGAGAGAGAGAGAGAGAGAGAGAGAGACAAACACAAAAAGTGGATAGTGATAACATGTCAGGCACTGGCCAACGGTAGGTAGGTCTGTATGTAACTTGGAGCTTGCTACCGCAAAAGAAGCTTAAGCTTCATAGAACGAAGACACACACACACACACACCTGTCTCTTATACACATCTAGATGTGTATAAGAGACAGGAGTAAAAGGGAAGGCACGGTCGACGTCTCCTGTC